TGGGTTATCTATCCGCATCATTTATCCGCACTTACGATAGAAGTTCATTCAGAGAGCGAGGGTTCTAGCGTTAGTAGGTGTACTGCTCTATTCGACAAGTAGGTATGTTTTGTGCCTATGGGGCGCTTAACACCGGCGGCACAAAAAGGAAGCAAAGTTACGGTGTTTGAGTTCCCTCGGCCAAATGGAACAACTTACGCGGAACCAAACTGCACAACCTCACCACCGGCGAGTGAACGTTTTGGGTTGAATACGACAGTGCACCACATCTTTCAATTCAACTATGCCTTGGCATTCACAATGGTGATCAACATCCTTCTCATAAACAACAATGCCCAACCAAACGCAATTTTGTTAAACAACTCATACTGAACAATGCACATGGACCAATACTTGCATGGGATTTAAGCTAAAAGCAGACTGCTTGAATTAGTTCGTTAAAAATGCATTGAAACAATACCGTTTTGGGGAAAATTTCAGTACAGCGGTGCAGAAAATACATATGCAATTAATAGGAACGACAAATGGATGCTTATCATTAAATTGCTGTACGCCTAAAGCGCGCGTCAATTTACGTTAAATGGATGTATTTCATGTTATGCCATTTTAATTGTATGTGGGCCAGTTGTTCATCAGCACAGCAAAGTGATACACGACATCCTGTGGAATTGGTTTGACTTACATGCGTGAGATTGCGCATCATTAAATGATATCAGTCTCTGCCGTACACGGCGAGGCACTGCGCCCTTGCTGTCTGAATGTTTGACTTAATTTCGAATCGTTGAATTCCCCACAACGGAAAATATACGCAGCTGAGAACAAACGAAACACATTGGCCAAAAGATTCCAGAAGATGCTTAAACGCCACCCTTAATATTACCCCGAAAAGCGTAATGGATGTCAAAACAGTGTCACTGTTGCTGTTAATGGTGTCAAGCATACATCCCAGCTCAATTATGCGTGACTGGCTTCTACGCCGCAGGTGATGTCTCTTGATAAAATTAGTGGGCAAAGGGACAGTTTACAGATAACGTCTGTCTCCGAATCCGTTAGCTGCAATGCGTAAAATTCCCGCAAAAAGCACATACATTGCCGCCCAGACACACCAATGATCTTGTCTGAGGCTTAAATTCGGTACAGCATTGACGTTATCCTGACTTTATTCGGGATATAGCGAGACGGGTGGTGGTGGGTACACCTTCCAGGATAAGTGTTCGTATATGGCTTGTCAAAGAGGGCCATTCGGCCATTGGCTTGATAGTGTCAGCCTAGGCACAGGGTAGCCGTCAGTCTTGTGGTCGCACGGCACCGTAAAAATCCTTTCGTGATGTTTGGGTAAGGTACTGAGACTAACTGAGTTCGTTATACGCGCATTACAATAAATGGATGGTGAGTTCGGAGTGCTAAGAAGAGATTAGGCTCAGGACGGAATAAGCTTAAAATCCGTCTAAACGAAGTATCAGTGGTCTGCATTATTTCTCATTCCACACACAATTATTCTCATTCTGCAACTGATATGGATACATAATCTAAACTAACCATGCCGCGCAAAAATTATTATGTTACCCGATTTTGTTTGCTCATGCGACCTTAAGACTAAGCAATTCGGGTCCCAACTTCAAATAATACAAAGCCAGGTTCATAGTCTACCATGGGTAGAGTCACTTGCGTCACCAAATATCACTTGGCATAAAAGGGTCTCCACCAGACCCGTGAAACACTGGCTTTTATGCCATGTTTGGGATAAGAGGGGAAGAGGCGTCTTGGCTTACCCTTGAATGACAAAACAACAGACCAACACCAAATATAAACTGGTTTACCCTCAATGTCTGAACTTACCCGCATTTGAGAAAAAAAATCATTTTGAGACTGCGGTGTCGAGTTGCCCCAGCTGCACCCTCCATGACGACTCAATCGCAAAGAAGGATCAGAAAAGATAGTCTTTGTGTGATGGCAAACCTTTCCTACGCTATTGCAATGCTCCAGCCAAAAATACTGGGGGGTCAAGTCAACGTTGGCGGCCCAACTCAACATGGAGCGGAGCAGGACTCTCGCAAAGGAGTATTAATTGATACCCATGCTACACCACAGTGTCGGAGCTCCGGGTCTTGTAACGGGCTGCAAAAAGACGCGTCATCTCTTAATCGGAAGTGAGACTGAGATTTGCATTGCCAGTGCAATACTTTTCTTGGTTAACCATTCTTTACCATATTGTATATCATATTTTTCATATATTAATGCATCATCACAGCTAAATTATATGTATATATTGCTACTAGAGCCGAGGATTACACATAGCTTGTGGTACACCACTCGTTGACAGTGCTGCGCGGCACCAACTGCGCCTGAACCGGCGCCGCCTGTCTCCTGACCCGGCGCCTGCTGTCTCCTGATCCGGCGCTGCCTGACTCCTGACTCAGCGTCGCCTGTCGTCTTACCCGCTCATCCGTCGCCTGACCCGCACCGCCTGTCGTCTGACCCGCTCGCCCGTCGCCTGACCCGCGCCGCCCGTCGTCTGACGCGCGCGTCCGTCGCCTGACCCACCGTCGCCTGTCGTCTGACC